ATATTTAACAATGCAAACTTTGTTAAAAATCAAGGCAAGTCTATTAGTTACAAAATAAATAGTGTGGTAATGAGCCTGTAAAACCTAATGAAGGTTTTGCTTACATTGTAACAGAAACCTAATCTTTTCCTTCTGTAGATATCAAAAAGCCGCAATAAGCAACTCCGAGAAATGTTTGCTGAAGGTTTCGGCATTCATCACGCTGGGATGCTGAGGCAGGACCGTAACCTTGTAGAACGTTACTTCTCTGAGGGTCACATCAAGGTGCTGGTCTGCACGGCCACACTTGCCTGGGGTGTCAATCTCCCTGCACATGCAGTCATCATCAAGGTTGGTTGGAGAGTATTTGGCAGCAGCATTGCATCAGATCATGAAGCGTTTCTATACTAACCTTAACATATCAGTAATGCACACCCTAATGCTGTAATTTTATTTTATTCTTCAGAATAGAAAAAGAGACAGAACTTTGTCTTTTCATTTGAAGATGCCATGCTCTTGGTTATTTTAAAATGAATTTTTTTGTTAAACAGGGTACTCAAATCTATGATGCAAAGAGGGGCTCCTTTGTGGACCTTGGCATTCTGGATGTTATGCAAATTTTTGGACGTGCAGGTCGGCCTCAGTTTGATACGTTTGGACATGGCACCATCATCACCAGCCATGACAAGTTGAGCCACTACTTGAGTCTCATGACTCGCCAGAACCCCATCGAGAGTCAGTTCATTAACAGCCTGATTGACAACCTCAATGCTGAAGTAAGTGTCTTCTTGATCCACAATTTCAGTTTTTTACCTATGGAGCTGTCTTAAGATATTCTAGGACACTCTATTGTCTTAAACATAAACAAAAGGCTATAAAATCTGATAAGTTTAAAAAAGTTAATGGAAGGTCAATGCTTCTGGGAAAAATAATACTTAAACAAGTTAATAACTTAAGCAATGAAAATGTTTAACATCAGGTGGATTAGGTAAGCAAATGAGTGATAGTGTCCATGCCAAATAGGAATAAAATGTACAATTTAATAGGATATTATTAACATGATATTATAGCCTGGATATACAAAGTTATCTTTTTTCAGCTGCCTCAGATAATAAAAATAGACCTTTTGAATAAAAATAAACTCTTCTGAACAGTGAAGCTATGAGTTTATGACCTGATTATTTCAGATTTCCCTCGGCACTGTGACAAATGTTGACGAGGCTGTCAGGTGGATGAGTTACACTTACCTCTTTGTCCGTATGAGGAAAAACCCTTTGGTTTATGGAATTCCTTGCTTATTCCCAAAATATCTCTTTATTTAAATCTCATTTAACGGCTATTATAGTAGCAACTCCTATCTTATTGAAACAGGTGTCAAGTCTGTCAACAAGATGAAGCAACTCAACGACTTCAACACTATATGCTATGACAAGGTTCTCAAACAAGTTCGTGAGGGCTATCAGGTGAACACAGACATCTTTTTTTTTTTTTTTTTTTTTTTGTTTCACCCCATTGTATATCACTGAGTTGAATTGGGAATTTAGCAACTCAAAATAAAATATTTTTATAGTGTGTTTGATACATTTATAAGAGGGGATTCTCTTAAAATGGACATAACTATTTGAAATTTCAAACACAGTAGATGCATGTGTAGACAGTAGTAAATTCAAAAGCAATACTGTGCCTTCAACCTAGAATTAAAATATGGGCTCTATGATATTCTATTCAGAACATGGACCTATTGTTTCATTCCATAGGCCGCGATTTCCCTTATATCTTAAATTTGTATTACATTGAGTCTGGCTCACCAATATTCTTTGTTTTTTAGTTTTGCTTCTTGCAGCAAACCTACACACACAAAATGTGATGAATTTTTTGTACGGTACGCACTATCGTCAAGTGAGGGATAATCCTCTGTGGAATTTTTTTTTTTTGTGGCATTTTCTTTTGGGGAATAATTTGTTTCACCGAAAAATTAAACAAAATGCACATAAAACAGTTGGAGGGCTATACAATTTTATAGTTTTGGATAGTCAAAAGTTAAGGATGGTGCTTTGAGAAATGACAAACATTTTATAACTCAATTGGCAATATAGTTGTAGTTGCTTTCAACTTTTTTCGATTTAACTGGGCCCTTTAATCTTATTTGGTGTAAATTAAAAGTGTTGTACATTCTATGCATTTCTAAGGTAATGGTGTTTGTGCATGCAAGAAATGAAACAGTGCGTACAGCCTTCACCTTGATAGACCTGGCCAAAAATAGAGGGAATATTTCCTTGTTTGCAGCAGAACAAAGCAAGACTTTAGGGGATGCACAAAGAGCTGTGAGTTCTTAAGCTTAATGCATGACGTTATTGACTGTCCATTAATTAACATCTTAAAAATCAGATCAAAGCAAATCTGTCATATTTAACAATGCAAACTTTGTTAAAAATCAAGGCAAGTCTATTAGTTACAAAATAAATAGTGTGGTAATGAGCCTGTAAAACCTAATGAAGGTTTTGCTTACATTGTAACAGAAACCTAATCTTTTCCTTCTGTAGATATCAAAAAGCCGCAATAAGCAACTCCGAGAAATGTTTGCTGAAGGTTTCGGCATTCATCACGCTGGGATGCTGAGGCAGGACCGTAACCTTGTAGAACGTTACTTCTCTGAGGGTCACATCAAGGTGCTGGTCTGCACGGCCACACTTGCCTGGGGTGTCAATCTCCCTGCACATGCAGTCATCATCAAGGTTGGTTGGAGAGTATTTGGCAGCAGCATTGCATCAGATCATGAAGCGTTTCTATACTAACCTTAACATATCAGTAATGCACACCCTAATGCTGTAATTTTATTTTATTCTTCAGAATAGAAAAAGAGACAGAACTTTGTCTTTTCATTTGAAGATGCCATGCTCTTGGTTATTTTAAAATGAATTTTTTTGTTAAACAGGGTACTCAAATCTATGATGCAAAGAGGGGCTCCTTTGTGGACCTTGGCATTCTGGATGTTATGCAAATTTTTGGACGTGCAGGTCGGCCTCAGTTTGATACGTTTGGACATGGCACCATCATCACCACCCACGACAAGTTGAGCCACTACTTGAGTCTCATGACTCGCCAGAACCCCATCGAGAGTCAGTTCATTAACAGCCTGATTGACAACCTCAATGCTGAAGTAAGTGTCTTCTTGATCCACAATTTCAGTTTTTTACCTATGGAGCTGTCTTAAGATATTCTAGGACACTCTATTGTCTTAAACATAAACAAAAGGCTATAAAATCTGATAAGTTTAAAAAAGTTAATGGAAGGTCAATGCTTCTGGGAAAAATAATACTTAAACAAGTTAATAACTTAAGCAATGAAAATGTTTAACATCAGGTGGATTAGGTAAGCAAATGAGTGATAGTGTCCATGCCAAATAGGAATAAAATGTACAATTTAATAGGATATTATTAACATGATATTATAGCCTGGATATACAAAGTTATCTTTTTTCAGCTGCCTCAGATAATAAAAATAGACCTTTTGAATAAAAATAAACTCTTCTGAACAGTGAAGCTATGAGTTTATGACCTGATTATTTCAGATTTCCCTCGGCACTGTGACAAATGTTGACGAGGCTGTCAGGTGGATGAGTTACACTTACCTCTTTGTCCGTATGAGGAAAAACCCTTTGGTTTATGGAATTCCATACAATTACTCGGAGGTACACTCTCTTGAAAGTTTTCTTATCCTAGGGTTTCATGGGAGTGTTAGTTCTAAAGCAGTGATGAATAAAATACTGTATCAATAATGTATTTAATAATCAAACTCCAGCTGTGGTGGTTAAGTTGGGCGGTGACAGTGATTGGAATACCATTTAAGTGAACCTGTTTGGAACCAGGCTTTCATTTGCCATGATCTATAAAAATTTTGTCTCTACAAATTTCACACAGTATGAATGTGCCCAGAAATACCAACTAAATGTACCATTTATAATTTATTATTTAGGACGATCCTTATTTAGAGTCGTACAGAAAATCTCTAGTCATTGATGCAGCCAGGCGGCTTGATAAAGCCATGATGATCAGGTTTGAGGAGCGCACTCAGTACATGGCCAGCACTCACCTTGGCCGCACTGCCAGCAATTTCTATATTAAATATGACACTGTTGAGGTGGGTACATGCGGGCTAGAAACTTCTGAACTAGTTAATTCTTTTCTTTCATCCTCAGAATAATATTCAGTTTAAATATGTGCCGTGGCAATCACATCACATTAAAATATTTCTTATGCTGCGGCATGATCATTAGAGAGAGAAAAATACAATACCAGTAAATGATCAGACACAAACACCTAATATTTAAAAACTGATTACATTTTAACTTCATTAAAAAATGTTATCTCAATAAATTATTTAATGTATATCCTAGAGTTTTCATTTTGAAAACTGAAACATACAAATGTCCAACAAACATATAATATGGCCGAAGACACATGAATGATTTCATTACTGCATTTCTGATGGGGTGTTTAACCTTTCTAATACCTGCTATAATTTTGTTTTTTCATGCCCCATGTTAGACAATCAATGAGATGTTGAAGGATGTCATGACGGAGGCTGACATTCTCAACCTTGTATCAAATGCTCAGGAGTTTCAACAAATCAAGGTTGGTGTGGCGTCTTCTTAATGCTATACATTAGATGTACCCTGTTATCTGTGAGACCTAAGTTCTCTTACACTTAAAAGCATCTGGTAGATGTACCCTGTTAATTGTGACAGCCAACTCTTATTACAGCGCATCTGTTAGATGTTATCAATTTAAAGATCAAGCACTTACTCTACTCTACTCTAAACAATTATTATCATGTAAAAACTTTTATGGCTAAGCCTTATTCCATCACAGTTCGTCGTTTTTCTTTCTTGAACACAGATTAAACAGCTTAATTCAGAAGTGGATTAAGTTATGGCATAAGGTTCTCAAGTCGTAGCCATGAATAAGTTCACCTATTCATTGCAGAGATTAAAATAATGTGGAGTATTTTCTAGTCTAAATAATAATTCCATGCCTCTTGACTTTGAAGTGTAAAAGAAAAAAAAAAGTTATCAATCTGCTAATAAATCAAAATATAAATGCGTAAAGATAATGTATAAAATTATTTAAATTTGAAAAAAATTTAAAATGTATTTAAATTTTGTATAAATTTATGCAACTTATATTTTTTTGCAACTGTTCAATATTTTTATGTCTTTAAGCCATTAACACTATATCAAGATGAGTAATGGAAAGGGTATTTTCAAAGTTGATTGTGATTTGTATCTCTTCAGGTCAGAGACGATGAAATGGATGAGCTTGACCGACTGACCAGTGACGGTTGTGAGATGATAGTGGCTGGAGGAAAGGAGAACACCCATGGGAAAGTGAACATTCTCCTCCAGTCATATGTGTCTCGTCAGTCAGTGGACTCATTTTCTTTGGTGTCTGATATGGCCTACGTTGCCCAGGTAAGTGGAAGATGTTAACTTTATTTCAGTCATATGTGTCTCGTCAGTCAGTGGACTCATTTTCTCTGGTGTCTGATATGGCCTACGTTGCCCAGGTAAGTGGAAGATGTTAACATTATTTCAGTCATATGTGTCTCGTCAGTCAGTGTACTCATTTTCTCTGGTGTCTGATATGGCCTACTTTGTCCATGGGAAGTGGAATATGTTAACTTTATTTCAGTCATATGTGTCTCGTCAGTCAGTGGACTCATTTTCTCTGGTGTGTGATATGGCCTACGTTGCCCAGGTAAGTGGAAGATGTTAACTTTATTTCAGTCATATGTGTCTCGTCAGTCAGTGGACTCATTTTCTCTGGTGTCTGATATGGCCTACTTTGTCCATGGGAAGTGGAAGATGTTAACTTTATTTCAGTCATATGTGTCTCGTCAGTCAGTGGACTCATTTTCTCTGGTGTCTGATATGGCCTACATTGTCCATGGGAAGTGGAATATGTTAACTTTATTTCAGTCATATGTGTCTCGTCAGTCAGTGGACTCATTTTCTCTGGTGTCTGATATGGCCTACGTTGCCCAGGTAAGTGGAAGATGTTAACATTATTTCAGTCATATGTGTCTCGTCAGTCAGTGGACTCATTTTCTCTGGTGTCTGATATGGCCTACGTTGTCCATGGGAAGTGGAATATGTTAACATTATTTCAGTCATATGTGTCTCGTCAGTCAGTGGACTCATTTTCTCTGGTGTCTGATATGGCCTACGTTGTCCATGGGAAGTGGAATATGTTAACTTTATTTCAGTCATATGTGTCTCGTCAGTCAGTGGACTCATTTTCTCTGGTGTCTGATATGGCCTACGTTGCCCAGGTAAGTGGAAGATGTTAACTTTATTTCAGTCATATGTGTCTCGTCAGTCAGTGGACTCATTTTCTCTGGTGTCTGATATGGCCTACGTTGCCCAGGTAAGTGGAAGATGTTAACTTTATTTCAGTCATATGTGTCTCGTCAGTCAGTGGACTCATTTTCTCTGGTGTCTGATATGGCCTACGTTGCCCAGGTAAGTGGAAGATGTTAACTTTATTTCAGTCATATGTGTCTCGTCAGTCAGTGGACTCATTTTCTCTGGTGTCTGATATGGCCTACGTTGTCCATGGGAAGTGGAAGATGTTAACATTCTTTTTTAGCTGGAGTTAATTGCAAAATCAACTCTTGAGACAACTTTTAAACAAATAGTGTAAATATGAATAATAAATAGTTAATTCAATTTAATAGACATTAAATTCAGGTTTCATGTACTTTCATTATTTGAGTGGTTAATAATAGAGAGTAATTTATTCTCTTGCCATGAACTGCACCACAGTACTTGATTGATTTTTACATCATTTCACAGACTAGTATCTGTACATGATAAACATATTTAGAGATATACCAATAACTGAGCTTTAATTGTAAAGGAATTTTTACATTTTTTCATATAGTTTTACACCCTCTTTGGAAATGTACATTAAATAGTTATAGTTGTTCTGTTGATCTGCTGTGTCGACTGTCATAATGATTGTTAGGCTGTAACTGCAATGGAAGCAACAATTGCTTGATTGAGAACAATTTCTTAGGTCAAAGGTCAAATGGTCACTGGATCATGTAGATTAAACAAAATGATGCAGAAGCAATTTCTTCAGAATTATTTTTGTGTATTATGTAGTTGAAATTCTTTTTATTTATATTCAAACTTACAGAACATAAGCATTTTATTTTCTGTCAGATAAGGACATAATAAAACTAGTTACATTCTTCCTTTCATTTGGTATAGAGATTTTAATTTACAGACAGGAAGTTAATTTAAAAAACCACATGCCACCGTTGAAGGTAATTTTAAAAAAAATTAGTCCTATTGATCAAAATTTCTCAGAGGTGATATAAAAATTCATCTCTTTTTCAGAATGCTGGCCGCATCATGCGAGCTCTGTTTGATATTGCCTTGAAAAAAGACAACCCGATTCTGGCCTCCAGGCTTTTAGAGATGTGTAAAATGGTTGACAAGAGACTCTGGACATTTGAGAACCCCCTGAGGCAGTTCAATATTTTATCACCAGAAATACTGACCAAACTTGAGAACAAGCGTCTGCTGCCAGAGAGGCTGAGGGAAATGGACTCCAAAGAAATAGGTGGGAAAACTTGAAATTCATTCTATTTTGTGTTGACTGAAGACCAAATTAACAGGTGGTAGAAGTTTGGGTAGTATGATTAATACTTTATTGGTTAACTACCATAAACCTTTCCTTTTATACTGACAGTCAACTTACATGATTCTTGATTCCCCATATCAGTTCTGTGGTCAGGGCTTGCTTTTGTCATTTGTGCACCCTGGGTCAGCTTCATCCTCTGCTTAATAAGAGAACAGCCAATGCCATTGCAGTAACTATAATCCAATCAAGATTAGATTACTGTAAAAGTTGTTTGTGGGGTTTACCTCAGAACCAAGTCAGAGACTCCAGAAGGTACAAAATACTGCAGGACACATTGTATCGCGGATAAAGAAATCTGACCACATCACCCCAGTTCTTAGAGATCTCTATTGGCTTCCTGTGAGTA